TGTAAAAACAAATAATAGCTGTGGCTTACATGTTATCATTCCAATAAACGTTATAAAACTATAGTGAAAACTAAGAGGGTTAATGAAGTTTGTTTGCTATTTTCTTTTATCGACTTCACATTATTTTCACTCGAACCTAGTACTTCAAAAAGTTTCTTTAAACAAAATATAACCATTAACCTTTTATCCTCACATTTTATTTTATACTGACTATTCCATCTTCTTTTGCCACTCCCCCTCCTCAGTGGCACAGCGGTATGTCTGCGGACTTACAACACTAGAATCCGGGTTTCGATACCCGTGGTGGGCAGAGTACAGATAGTCCATCGTGTAGCTTTGAGCTTAATTACAAACAAACATGTTTTTCATTCAAAGTAAAGACACATGTATAAATTCTGAATAACTTTGATACTGTTATAACATGTTTGTTTCATTGGCGGTTTTTTTTTTTTTAATTATCGGGTGAAAGTAAGTCTATGCCTAGTCCACTTAGTGAAGACTAACTTTTTTTATTTCCTCCTTTAAAATATTCTACGAGCTTAAACGAATTCTAAACTGTCACAAATGGCTTAGACCTAAGTTTACACTCTACATAGAAATCGAATTACTTGTTCAAAGTAGCGCGATAACTCTCTTTTATCCCAACTAATTTGACGCTTCACGGAACGTCGTATATTTATAATCTACCCGTGTTCTAGATATTTCTAGGACTAAATTGAACTTAACGCCACTTTACATCATTAACGACCTCCAGCTAACAAATAAATTATAACGTTAAAAGTTTAGCTTACAACAATACGATTAATCATTGCATCCATGAAAAAATCATGAAATTAAGCTGCCCATGTTAGTAGAGCATTACTGTTATTATATTGTGGCATGTAGGCCTGATAAGTTGAAGAATTTTAATCATTGCATCTATGAAAAAAATCATGAAATTAAGCTGCCCATGTTAGTAGAGCATTACTATTATTATATTGTGGCATGTAGGCTTGAGAAGTTGAAGAATTTTAATCATTGCATCCATGAAAAAATCATGAAATTAAGCTGCCCATGTTAGTAGAGCATTACTGTTATTATATTGTGGCATGTAGGCCTGATAAGTTGAAGAATTTTAATCATTGCATCTTTGAAAAAAATCATGAAATTAAGCTGCCCATGTTAGTAGAGCAAAAAAAATCATGAAATTAAGCTGCCCATGTTAGTAGAGGAAAAAAAATCATGAAATTACTGCCCATGTTAGTAGAGCATTACTATTATTATATTGTGGCATGTAGGCTTGAGAAGTTGAAGAATTTTCATTATTGAAACATTGGTTTCGGGAAAATGTTGTCTTAAAAATATCATGATTTTCCATCTTCGTGTCAGTTAAAGTTAAAGACCATACCCATTTTAAAGGTCAACATGAAACACTATATGTAAAATACAAAAATTAAAAACATCAGCTTTAGCTGTTATGTTCTCAATGCATGTATACTCGAATATATGTCTGTATTGTTAATTAAAAATACTCGTATCAATTCAGCTACGTTCAACGTTTTATTGTATTTTTGTATTGATTCTTTTCACTCGAAAATAAATACTGAGTTTTTGTTGAATTTCGTGCAAAGCTACACGAGGGCTATCTGTGCTAGCCGTCCCTAATTTAGGGGGTGTAAGACTAGAGGGAAGGTAGCTCTTGGGCTACTCGTTTACCAACGAATAGTGGGATTGAACATCACATTATAACGCCCCCACGGCTGAATGAGCGAGCACGCTTGGTGGGACGGGGATTCGAACCCGCGACCCTCAGATTGCGAGTCGAGCGCCCTAACTTTTTGTGTGCTGATAAATACTGACTTTTATTACTTCAAACTCCTCACAACCTGTTGATTTAACAGGAAAAAAAAACGACAGTTAGTATACAAACTTAAAACGCTTTAGTTTACAGTTACTAAAGCTTATTTCAGGAAGTAAAATTATACAAGAAGTTTTAATTATTTCAAAAAAAAAAAGGGACGACAAATATTACACTTATAGTCAGTTACCCGAGTAATAATTTTGTGGGATTCCCCCATAATTCAGTTCGCACTGTTTTAATTGTTTAATACAGTTTTAGTTGCTTGCTTCGTAAGTTGATTTTGAGGATTTATTTTAAAAAATATATATATTTCGTCAAATTACACAAATTTGTTGCTTTCCATAAAACAAATAAACTGTTGGAAAGATGAATATTTAATATATCAAATCATTTTACTATTTAAACAATTTATAAACTGTCGGAAAAAATAGGGGATTATTTTTATAGACAGATTTGAAGTGTTAAATGTAACCAAAAAAAAATATCCGGTCTCGAATACCCTTTTTCTTTCAAACGACTTTTCGAATTTTATTTCCAAAATTATTATAAGATACAAAATAAAAAGTAATCGTGCTTTAAATAATACATTAAAAATATCTAAGATATGTTTAATATTTGAAAATGTGAAGTTAAAGTGTTATCATTTAAAAATAATCTTTCATAACTTGCATTATTAGTTACGAAACTATTTTTACGTGTATAACCTTAAAATAAAAGGATATTATTTTTATTTACAGTTTCTTCGTTGACAAAATAGTTTCAGTGAAAGAAACAGAAACATTTTCCAATAAATAGACAATGAGTGTATTCAATATTTCGAATGAATATTTTGTGACTTTGTTTACTTGTTCGTGTAATTTCAATTATCGCTACACCTTTCCATATGTTATCTACAGGTGAAATTTTAGTTCCACCTGTTTACATAGAGCTGTATCTTTAAAATAATTGTGGTAGAAATATGATGAAACATCATCATCCAATGTCCAAAAATATCATCACGGTCGTGAAAATAAAGCTGTGATAAAACCTAGCCTAATAAACAGAATTGTGGTAAAGCTATGATAAAAACCCGGTCCAATAACTAGAAAGGTCATTGTGATGGTGGTGGCAAAATTGTGATTAAAACCTGATCCAATGACCAGAATGATGGTAAAGTTGCGATGGAAGCTGGTCCAATAACAAGAATGACGATAAAGTTGTGATGGAAGCTGGTCCAATAAGAAGAACGAAGGTAAAATTGTGATAAAACCTGATCCAATGACCAGAATGATGGTAAAGTTGCGATAGAAGCTGGTCCAATAACAAGAATGACGATAAAGTTGTGACAGAATCTGGTCCAATAAGAAGAACGAAGGTAAAATTGTGATAAAACATGATCCAATGACCAGAATGATGGTAAAGTTGCGATGGAAGCTGGTCCAATAACAAGAATGACGATAAAGCTGTGACAGAAGCTGGTCCAATAACAAGAATGACGATAAAGTTGCGATGGAAGCTGGTCCAATAACAAGAATGACGATAAAGTTGTGATGGAAGCTGGTCCAATAACAAGAATGACGATAAAGTTGCGATGGAAGCTGGTCCAATAACAAGAATGACGATAAAGTTGTGATGGAAGCTGGTCCAATAACAAAAATGACGATAAAGTTGTGATGGAAGCTGGTCCAATGACCAGAATGGTGGTAAAGCTGTGATAGAAACTGGTTCAATAAGAAGAATGAAGGTAAAATTGTGATGGAAGCTGGTTCAATAAGAAGAATGACGATAAAGCTGTGATAAAACCTGATCCAATGACCTGAATGGTGGTAAAGCTGTGATAGAAACTGGTTCAATAAGAAGAATGACGATAAAGCTGTGACAGAAGCTGGTCCAATAACAAGAATGACGATAAAATTGTGATAAAACCTGATCCAATGACCAGAATGGTGGTAAAGCTGTGATAGAAACTGGTTCAATAAGAAGAATGACGATAAAGTTGTGATGGAAGCTGGTTCAATAACAAAAATGACGATAAAGTTGTGATGGAAGCTGGTCCAATGACCAGAATGGTGGTAAAGCTGTGATAGAAACTGGTTCAATAAGAAGAATGAAGGTAAAATTGTGATTAAAACCTGATCCAATGACCAGAATGGTGGTAAAGCTATGATAGAAACTTTTTCAATAACAAGAATGAGGATAAAGCTGTGATAGAAACTGGTTCAATAAGAAGAATGACGATAAAGTTGTGATGGAAGCTGGTTCAATAAGAAGAACGAAGGTAAAATTGTGATAAAACATGATCCAATGACCAGAATGACGATAAAGTTGTGATAGAAGCTGGTCCAATAACAAGAATGACGATAAAGCTGTGATAGAAGCTGGTCCAATAACAAGAATGACGATAAAGTTGTGATGGAAGCTGGTCCAATAACAAGAATGACGATAAAGTTGTGATGGAAGCTGGTCCAATGACCAGAATGACGATAGAGCTGTGATAGAAGCTGGTCCAATAACAAGAATGACGATAAAGCTGTGATGGAAACTGGTTCAATAAGAAGAACGAAGGTAGAATTGTGATTAAAACCTGATCCAATGACCGGAATGACGATAAAGTTGTGATGGAAGCTGGTCCAATAACAAGAATGGTGGTAAAGCTGTAATAGAAGCTGGTCCAATAACAAGAATGACGATAAAGTTGTGATGGAAGCTGGTCCAATAACAAGAATGGTGGTAAAGCTGTAATAGAAGCTGGTCCAATAACAAGAATGACGATAAAGTTGTGATGGAAGCTGGTCCAATAAGAATAACGAAGGTAAAATTGTGATAAAACCTGATCCAATGACCAGAATGGTGGTAAAGCTGTAATAGAAGCTGGTCCAATAACAAGAATGGTGGTAAAGCTGTAACAGAAGCTGGTCCAATAACAAGAATGACGATAAAGTTGTGATGGAAGCTGGTCCAATAAGAATAACGAAGGTAAAATTGTGATAAAACCTGATACAATGACCAGAATGATGGTAAAGCTGTGATATAAGCTTGTTTAATAACCAGTAAGGTAATTATGTTATTACACTTTATGACGGATGTAAGTTCAACTTACCTAATTGCTCATGTCGAGTAATTAGTTGGAATGTTGTCATTGATGTGTTACAAAATGTATATTAAATTATAACTCATGCTATTTTATGTTGTATCTTTTATTCCTGTAATTAATTAATTAATAACAAAAATGGATACACAATACGTTGTAAAATTTCCTAATGCCACACGATATATATATTACATCCTGAATCGTTTTAACCAAATAAAATGTTTCCCAATTACCCAGTGAATCTTAGAAAATCTAAACCAAAACACCCTGTTTTAATCAGTAATTAAACACAAGAAAAGAACATTTGATGGAACTGTACTCGCACTCATATATATACGACATATTTGTATTTGATCGCCTTCCTTCATCTGGGGGTCGTCTTAGCAGTTTACAGGTTTCACTATGAACGTAATTTAATTCTTACCATATATTAACTTGATTCGAAATAACTTTTCTCTCAAATCCTCCGTGTCGTTTCGAATGACGAATGAGATAACGTCCAATCTCGTTTTGAAAGCGAATCGAATTGCATTGTGGATCGAGATACAAATTACTCAGAGCTGAGAGTGTTACAAAACTATCATAAGCGCCCTCTAACTTGTCCTTTCCATAAATATTGCAAAATACATTGCCTGTGGAATTAAAGACGTCAAATATTGCTATTAAAAGCTCATTTATAAATATTAAAGCGGATTATGTTATTAGCAAAAACCATAATATTTATTTTAAATAGCTCATAACAGTTACTACCATTTTTACTTTTATTATTATATTTAAAAAACAACAAAAATTTTTTTGCTGAAGACACTTTCGCTAATTATCAGCCTGATGACCATCGTTATGATTTGCTCATGGCGAGGAGAATGAGAAACAAGAAATGCGACCTACACTTAAGTACTTCACACGTGTCAACTACATCCAGTTAATATACAACAAACACAGAGATAACTAACATAAGAATGGTATTACAAAGTTCAGAGTTAACACAGCTAATCTATGGAAAGCGAATACTGGTGCTGGATATAGGAATATACAGGGTGGGGCAAAACTTACTATACAGTTAGTACTATGTGGTTGGCCCCCTGGTGGCTTAGCAGTAAGCTTGTTTGTTTTAGAGCAAAACCAGTTGGGCTATATGTTGTGTCCATCGTGCGGGGAATCGAAGCCAGGATTTGAGTGTTGTAGGTCCGTGAACTTATGGCTGTTCCACCGGCGGGGCCCCGAGTGGCACAGCGGTATGTCTGCGGATTTATAATGCTAGAAACCGGGTTTCGATACCCGTGGTGGGCAGAGCACAGATAACCTCGTGTAGCGTTGTGCTTAACAACATACAAATCCACCGGGGGACGGCTCAGAAATAAATCTGAAAGTTTTATACACTAAAAATTGGGTTTCGCTATCCGCGGTGGGCAGAGCACAGACAGCTCATATATTTGTGTTTAACAACAAACAAAAAACTATGTAGTTGGTATAACTTGCATTATACAGTCAGCACTAAAGAAAATATTGCGAGGACAATTGAAATCAATTTAATCTTTTTTTTTTCAGAGCAAAACTTTATAGATTAAGCTATTCTCTAAAGCAGTGGTTCTTAACCTTTTTGGGAAGCCGCCCCCTTCGGGTTATAGAATATATCCTCGCACCCTTTGCCTTTCGGGATTTGTTAATAGTTCTCTCTTACGTTTAATTATATATCAATAGAAAGTCAATGTTTCCATCTATCATATGACGTATTATACTACGTTGTGTTCTGAACAGTTACATGTCAGTTTCAGTTATAACAGAAGCTTCATTCCCATGGAAACATTAACGACTAGCTTGGGAGAATTTGTAACGGCTTTTGTCGCATAGTTACGGTTGAAAAGTATAGTATCAAGTGATCTCAGGAGTCCGAGGGAGAAACCCTATTTGTAATGGAAACGCCGACATGTTTCGCACCCATAAGGGGCGCGTGCACCACAGGTTAAGAAAAATGCTCCAAATTAAACAGCTGTATAATCACTTGTTTTGTCTCACCCTGTAGCAATCGTTCCAAAGACAATAACGCAGACACAATCGATTATATCTAAATCAAATACAGATAATTCAGATAGCAAAGTTTTAAAACAAATTGTATAAAAATAGTGATGACCTGTATACAATTACAAGTTATCAACTTTTAAAAATGAATTTCACAAGAAATTTCACCCACTGAATAAAAAATCGAGTTTACACAAAACCTTCACACCTCAACAGTAAAACATTAAAACAATACTTATACCTACGAAAGAACTAGAAAAAATGGGTTTCAGTTCAAACTACACTTAATTTACGCTCACATAAACAAAAAATAATAACTTATTTTGTCCTAGCACCAAAGTTGTACTACAACGATCATGGTCTTCAATAATAGTACAATCCATTAAAAGGGCCTTGTCTGAACTTTTTTGATGACTCAATTAAACAAATAATTTTTATTCATATTTTAACGAGTCTATTAATTCTTTCATTAAACTTCTAAATTCTACTAGGCTATGAAAATAGTGAGTTTTATATTAAAGGAATTCTTCTTCTTTATATGATCGAATCCATGTTAGTCTTCTTTATATGATCGAATCCATGTTGAAATTTAGCTTTTTTTATATGTTCAAATTCACATGGGTTGAGAGTGGCCTCGTGGTCAGCATGTCTAGCTACGGGTCGGTAAGGTTGAAGTTCGAGCAGCATTATACCGCTTAACACGCTCAACACTTTCAGTTGTAGGAGTGTTATAACCGTAACAGTCAATCCCGTATTCGGTTAACAGTAGCCGTAAAAAGGCGGGTGGTACTGACTGGTCTCCACTCCTGTAGTCAGCAGCTCTAAATTAGGAATGTTAATGGTAAATGGTTTACCCATGATTCGCATTAAGATGTCGTTCAGATTGAAAATATTAAACACACTCTTCTGACCACGATTCACAAATGTATGTTAATCTTGCACTTCATATTGGAGAGTCTGATATTTGACACAAATATACAATTTATTGTAAATCAGAATTAAACAGATAAACATTTGACAGTAAAATAGATGATATTGCACTATTGTCTCCTAAAATATTGGTTTGCTTCAGAAAACTGACTGTTTTTTTTTTTTTTTTTTACCAAACCAGTACATTTGGCGATATTTTATTACTGGAATAAAAAGGCCAAAGTATATATATACAATAAATTTTGGTTACAACTTAAAAAATATGTTTCTTCATTTGATGGTTCTTTGCTGTTCTACACAGTACATCTTCCGTCAATATTTTTTAAACAATTTGATATTTTTGCATACGACGGCAAGGATACCTGAAACAAAAACCTAGAACAAAAATTGTTAATTAAATAAATTATCACAAAATAAAGGGGGAGTTAATAATTATAACAATTTACACAAATATATATGATGAATATTTTCGGGCTTAGTAAACACAACGTTTATTTTGTGTGGTTGTTTACTATTATTAAACCTATTAATATTATTAGCTTAATATACGGATTTAGAAATAACTTAAATCTCCTAAGCTAGCTAAGCCTCTTGGGTTATTATTGGGATTAAGTCCCGAATTCTCCTAAACCATTTCCAACAAAATGTATTTGATTCTATACAAGTTTAAAACACTACAGCGATTTAGAAGAATCTGTGAATAAATTTGTAAGTTAATGTATTATTTCAATCACAAACTCCTAATTGTACTATTTTTGTTGGGTTCGAATCCCCGTCCCACAAAAATATTCTCGCCCTTTCAGCCGTGGGGGCGTTATTATGTGACGGTCAATCCCACTATTCGTTGGTAAAAGAGTAGCCCAAGAGTTGGCGGTGGGTGGTGATGACTAGCTGCTTTCCCTCTAGCTAAATTATGGACAGATAGCCCTCGTGTTGCTTTGTGCGAAATTCAAAACAAATCGTTGATGGCGAAGACAGTTCAATTATTCATCTGATTTTCCGTTGTATTAAACACAAAGACCTGGTGCCCTGCAGCCCCTATTTCATCTGTTGTACGTGTCCTATTACTGAATACAACAGCCTGTTGTCTGGAGTAAACATTACTTTGAACACATCTAGGGGGCGCTACTATAGCGTTCAGTCTAACCAGATACCATCATCATCACCGTTTTAATGATTCACTAAAACATAATTTATTGATAAATAATTCACATCTATCCACGTTTTTGTTCAGCAAATAATAATAATTTAATAAGTTGTGTGTTCCAAAAGAATACCTTAAATTTAGGTTATAATTGTGCTAGTTTTGATTGTTGGAATTTATTTAATTCGTGTTATATTTGACCCCAAAACGTTATGTAATGGTATGATCTACTTTATTAGTTTAAAATCGTTATTTATAATAAATGGTGCTAATTGGAAATAAACAAAAGTTAAAACGGTGATGATGGTACTATCTGTGTAGACCGCACGCTATAGTAGCGCCCCCTAGATGTACTAGCACCCATTCAGGACTATTCCCTTACTCATACCAAACGCTACAGATGAAATATCACTTACGAGTAGAGCATGCATAAAAAAAATATATGCTTGC